GTTACAGCATGCAGTTGTGTGAGCCTAAAGTTAGGATTTAAACTCATGACTGAGCAATAAGCACCTCTTCACTGCTGTGCCATCTCTCTAGCCATTTGGCCCAAGCTCTTTCTGTTCCTATACAGTTTCCTCATTGAGTCAGGAAATATTGAGTAACTAATTTTGTTGCAGAACTGTAGTGATTCTAAGAATTAAAAATTCATCTAAACAAGACACAAAAGTCACAAGATTATGTGATTTAACTAATGTTCAGTATATACAAAACAATAAACATGAAAATTGGATTAGAATCCAAGTATATTGGCACATTATTGAAATCCCAGCACTTAGGAGGTTGAGGCAGGAGAATCATGAATTTGAAACCTGCCTTGGTTGCATGGTAAGGCCTTGTCTCCAAAGCAAAACAAGTATATTTAGTGGTTACCAGGGACTGATAGAAGGCAAGAATGAGAAACCACTAACAGATATGTGGTGTCTTTTCGAGGTGAAGAATTAGTGTTGATGGTTACATGACTTGGTAAATACACTAAAACCCTTTGAATTGCACATTTAAAAACCTTTAAAGCCAGGCTGTGGTGGCACATTCCTTTAATCCGAGCATTTGGGGGGACAAAGGCAGGCGATCCCTGTGAGTTCAAGCCCTGCCTGGTCTACAAAGCAAGTTTCAGGACTGCCAAGGCTACACACACAGAGAAACTCTGTATCAAAAAAATCAAACCAAAACAAAAAACCCTTTAAAAATACCAAACACTTGGCGGAAGTGGTAATGGAAATCAGGGTGTTGTTTCTTGGGAAACTAAACCATCTTCAGTAGATAAGTTTTGAAGTAGAAGAGGATGTTTCTGACCAGGAGAATATTGTTAAAGCCTGGAAGTCAAAGAGAGTAGAGGTTAACTATATACTAATGGCCAGTGCACAAAAGCACAAGGGAAATGACTGGCGAGGTTGGGGAGGCATGAGGCAGGCAGATCTTAACCACGGTGAAGAGTTTTTCTGAGGACAGTGGGAGAACTATGTAAGGACTGTAGTTTGGAAATAATATATAATCAAGGTTGTGATTAGAAAAGTCTGGCTGTAGTATGAGACAACAGAGATGGCAGAGTGCAGCAATGGGTAGATGGATTGTTGGAGGAATTCAGGCAGGAGACAAGCCTGGTCTGATCTGAGGTAGAAATGTCACGCCCAGCATGGTGGCACACACTTGTAATCCCAGTACTTGAGAAGTGGAGGCAGCAGAACCACCTCAAGTTCAAGGCTGTCTGGGCTACATAGCAAGTTCCAGGAAGTTGGGGCTATGTAGTGAGAGCCTATAAAAACAACAGTAGGGGGCTGGAGAGATGGCTCAGTGTTTAAGAGCACTGACTGCTCTTCCAGAGGAGCCAGGTTCAAATCCTAACACCCACATGGCAGCTCACAACTGTCTGTAACTTCAGTTCTTGGGGAAATGATACCCTCACACCAGTGTACATTAAATAAATTATATATATATATATATAAAAAAACAACAGCAGTAGCAGCATCAACACTAACCACTAAAGAAAACCTCCCCATAGAAGCTGACAACAATGTGGAGGAAGTGAGTAGTTGATACATTTGAGAACTACTAAGTTGATTGAACAAAGAAATAAGAAAAGAAGGCAGAATTAAGTCATACATTTTCAGATTGAATTATTAAGTGTTTCATGATGTCATTCAGTAGGAAAGAGGTTTGAGGGGCAAGAATTCACATTTGGATGTGCTAAGGACATCAAAGTGGGGATTTGTCTAATGGACAGAATTGTAGGTCAGTAACTCCAAGAGTGACCTGGGTTGGGCATATACATATAAAAATCATTAGAATTGAAATAGTGATTGATATAATGTGAGTATATTTGTTTGCTCAGAGGATATGTTTAGAAATGAAAAAATAGAAGACACTAGGACAGAAGCTTGAGGAATACTAAAATGCCAGAGGAAAGTAGGTCAGAGAAAAGACGGGAGGACAATGGGAGGGAACTGCTAGTCTGGAGAAACACCAGCCGCAGGCTAATGCCTTAGACTAGTAGGTGTTTTTGTTCTGTTGTTTTTAAAGCAAGCATGCTTTGTTATGTTTAATGAAGCGTATATAAAAAGTGTTTCAAGTAACATTAATAAATTTAATCTTGAAATAACTGTGAAGTAGTCACTGTTCCATTTTTAATGTGCAGATGGAAAAATTGAGGCATACATATATCTTATCCAAGGTTACATAGTGAATTGCACACGGAGGGTTTGGAAAGTCCAGGTACTTAATCCCTGTCCTATGTTTCTACTACAGATGCATGCTGAATAAGACCTGAAAAGTTGGATCTATGTTTATGTTTACAAAAAAAAAATTAGATTGCAGAGGAATTAATTTAGCCAGAGTTATACAAATTTAGGTAGTAGAATCCAAATTTGAACACAGATTTCTTAATTCCAAAGTCGATTTCTACTTTTCTTACATATCCATTTGTATTCCATCAAACTGAATTTTGCTTGTTTTACAAATATCTTTAATCCCTTCTCAGATGAAACAACCTGTATGTATTAGTTTTTAGTAATTTTAATTTAATCTGGGCCATCCATATAGTCTAAAAATACAGGTGCATAATAAATAGTGCATGGTGGTCCAATTGACTAATGGCTGTTTTTAAGTCTTGATTCTCTAGACATGCCATGAGAAATATATTATGATCTTACAGAAATTGTCTAAAATTCTACCAATGTAGAAAGTGATTTAAAAAAAAAAACATTACTTGTATCTATTGCTTCCTCTTTAGAAGGTTATATTCTAATGGTTAGAACTGGAACTTAATCCCTTGTACCTACTTTTCTTTTCCTTCCTTCTTTCTTTTTTAAAAAGATATATTTATTTATGTATATAAGTGCTTTATTTCCATGTATGCCTACATGACATTTTAGATGGTTGTGAGTCACTTGTGTGGCTTCTGGGAATTGAACCCCAGTCCTCTGAAAGAGCAGCCAGTGTCCTTAAATGCTGGGTCTTCTCTCTCAAGCCTGCCTTCCTTATTTCTTAAAATGTAAGGGAGGAAATAGTTGTGTTGGGTCAGACGTGACAGTTACATTCTGAAGACAACAAAAGAAAACAACCTTTAAGGACTACTCGAGAACCATCAGGTAGATTTCAGACTCATATAAAAATATTGTAATAGTGTCACCTAGTGCTGTTTTGAAGAAATAATTTAAGAGAAATTAAATAGTATCTGCTTATAGTCTCTATCACCACCTTGTGGCACTGTTTTCAAATAATTCTAACCTCTTATTTGTAAAAATCTTTCAGAGTCTTGCCTTAATTGCTAATAATTAATTGTAACAGCCCTGGGTGAGCCAGAGTGGAATTTCTTTAAATGGGTTATTACAAATAAGACCCAAATTGAAATAAAATTAAGATCTTCAGAAAGAAAATAGATTTACTTTTTTAAAAATTCCACTGAAAAATACACTTTTAATTCATAACTTTTAAAACTTTTTAAAATGATGATTTAGTCTTTGAGTATAAATTTGGGTCCCCCCAACTTATCAACTTTTTAATTGTGATCTATTATGCATAATATGTAATTAATCATGTGAGCCATTCTCAGTATACAATCTAGCAATGCTCATGTCATGTGACAAACGCCAACCATTTACCATTTCCAAAATATTTCATCGTAGTTAATAGAACCCTCTGTCCTATTGAATTCCACCACTCTATCCCCACCCCAGCTCTGATAACCTCTGTTGTACTTTTTGTTTGCAGTTTTGCTTAATTTATTGTAGGTACTCATATGTGAGATCATATATTTGTTCTTCTGTACCTGGCTTTGCTTTTATTATTTTTTAAACATAGTATTGTGCTTGCAAGGTTCCATTGTGGCATGTAATTTTATCCTTTTCTGTAGATAGAGTAGCATATATATATATATATATATATATATTTCACATTTTTGTTTATCCATTCATCTATTCCCCATCCCCATGCCCCACCCTTTTTTTAAAAGATGAGGACTTGCCATGTTATCTAGGCTGACCTCAAACTCCTAGACTGAGCTGATTGCTTAGCTTCCAGTGTCGCTGGGCCTACATGCCACTGCCCCTTGCTGTTTGTCCATTTGTCTATTGATCGACTTTTGGATTGTTTCCACCTTTTGACTGTATGAAGAATGCTGCTAGGAGAGTTGATGAACAAGTATTTGAGACCCTCCCTGCTCCTTCCCTTCCTTGTTTATTTCTTTTGGCTTTATACTTAGAAATGATAATGCTGCATACTAGGGTAATTTGTTTAAGAATCGGAAGAACTTCGCACTGTGTTCTGGGTTGCTTTACATCTGAACCAGCAATGCATAAAGACTTTAATTCTCCACCTCTTCACCAACACCTGTTAATTTCATTTTTGGAATAGGTTTTGAGTTTGTAAACAAATAAGAAGTTAGTCTAAGAAATGTTTTTGAGCCCTTCTGTGCACAAGAAGACAGTTACTGTTTGAGGGAATAACAAAGATAAATGAGATATATTGCATCGTTAGGGGACTTTCTTCTGAGAATGTGTTTATGAATAAATAGATTATCTTACAGTTTTTTTGGGTAGTTGAAAAATTAATACAGAGACTTCATACCAGATTTAGAAAAAGTTTGTAGTGAAAACTTAAATGATTTTTAAAATTACTTGTCAAGTTATAGTTGATTTATATAGCTCTCATTTGGAAAATTCAAAATAAGAATTTTTCTAATTCAGATTTTTATAATTTTTGATAGGGACAGGTAGAACTATTTTAGCTTCATTCTCCCTTTGTGTTTTCAAAATTGAGCTTGGTAAATTTCTCTTGAAACAGGAAAGTCTGGGAAACAGTCTATCCTTAAACTTACTTGACGTTAAGTTTTGATTTTAAGATCAGCTTCATCTTTGGAACGACAAGATAGGAAGTATTATGTTAGGCCAAATCTCTAATTAATTTTTTTAACAGGTTAGAATTGTTGAAAGAATCCTGACTCACTCTCACGATGACTACTGCTCAGCTCGTTCACAACACCAGAACACTAGAAGCATCTAAGGTATTTGTTAAGAATTAAAAGAAAATCAATAACCACTTAGTGAGTTACTTAATTTAAAATTTCGTTAGTGGTTTTATCAGTTAATTGGTACATAATACTCTGGGAAAGTATGTCTACATTTTAATGCCTAATGGGCAGGGGGATATTTGGAAAATTAAGACCAATTACAAAATGACTTACTGGGTGCTTATTTCATGTTTACTAGAGTAAAAGGAATCAGAAACAAAGAGATGTTTAAAGAGAATGGTCCTTCGTTAGACATCTGCTTCCTGAGGCAATTAGGAAACTTGTGATGTAATTTTCAGAACTAAATAGGAGAGCACTGTGAGAAGCTTTGATGCTAAGAATCTGGGGGAGAATGTGTTAGTCACTTCCTGTGTGGTGACAGCATATGAAATAATAAACTTAAGAGGAAGAAGGGTTTATTTTGGCTCACAGTTTGAGAAGTTGATTCTATTGTTTTTGACTCAGTATCAAAGCAGAACATCATGGGGACATGCAGGGGAAAATACAGTAGAGCAAAATGGCACACCCGTGGTGGCCAGGAATGGGGTGGGAGTGGGAGGAGACTCACTTGATAATCTAATGTCTTTTCATTAGATTCTACCTCCTAAAAGTTCTACCATCTCTCAGTAGCACAACAGGTTGATGACCATGTCTTCAATTTTGGGGGACATTTATGATTCAGACTTAACAGGCTACAGTATTTCAGGCCAGTTGCTGGATATGCCCAGGCTGATTTAGCATATCCAAGAACAGTCATTAATTCATCATTTATTTGTTTAGGTTCAATATATACTCTATATGTAATAATGTATTGGTTTATGAGAAGATACAAAAAATGATCCTTATCTTAGAAGTTTGTAATCTGATTAAGAAAAATAAGATTCATGTAATTAAGTTAATATACATATATGTATAAATATTTACATATATGTGAAGAATGAGAGACCCCAGGAGAATTGTTGCAAGCTTGAGACCAGTTTTACTACATAGTGAGTTCTAGGTCACCTTAAGCCAGATTGAGATGCTGTCTCTACCTCAGAACCCATAAAAGAATACAGTAATTCAGACTGTAGCAATTTAGGGATTTTGTATACTCTGAAATGATGAAAAAGCTCATAGAGAATTTCTTGAGGAAACATAGCCTGTGCCTTGGCTCATAATAAATAAGCATGACATGTTTTAGGGAAAGGTACTTTTTCTGTAGTAAGACTCTCATGTTGGCCCGGAGATGGAAACAAAATGAAACAGGAAATTGGGGAACAGATTAATTTGGATCTTAAAATCTAGGCTAAAGAACTGATGCTTGATTCTGTACTCAGTGCCAGGTCAGAAGGTTTGTTTGATTAGAAGAGTGAATATAGACTTGTTTCAAGGAGTATTAAATTATAGGGGAGAGAGAGAGTGAGATTAAAGTTTGGAGCTGAAGGAGAAATCAGGCTAAAAGCAAGCAGCCATCTTTCTGGCTTTGTCCCAGTGTACTCCCCGCGGGAACACTGAATCTCATCTAGCTTCTTAATGTGTACTCCCTCCTGGGGGGGACGTTGAGCTGGGTGTGTAAACTGCAATCAGCATGGCAGGCATTTTTCTCTAAATTAAACAAATTGACTTTTTTGCTTCGACTGTACCTTTGTTTGGGTTACATGAAGTGCTTTTCCCAGTAAATTTCAAGTGACAGTGTGGTTCTGTTATCTCATACTACAAACAATGATAATAACTACAGAAGTCAATATTTATTCAGCACTTAACTATGTGCTGGGCATTGTGCCAAGGGCATTATGTTATTATTCAATTAAATCTCTCAGAAAGGAAGAAACTGAGCAGGGCAGTGGTAGCACACACTTTTAGTCCCAGCACTCAGGAGGCAGAGGCAGGCGGATCTCTGAGTTCGAGGCCAGCCTGGTCTACAGACTGAGTTCCAGGACAGCCAAGGCTACACAGAGAAACCCTGTCTCAAAAAACAAAAAGAAGGAAAGAGAGAGGGGGTGGGGGGAGGAAGAACCTGAAGAGCCTGGAAAAGAAAAGTAACCAGCTCCAGGTCACACAACTTAGTAGTTAAATTGTCAGCAGCAACATGCTTTACTACCAAAACATGATAATGCTTTCTATTTCAAAGTATAGTATTTTCATATATTAGATATTTACAAAAACATCACCAGTAACATTTAAACTATTAGACTAGCTTAGGTAAAGGGAAATATCCCTGGAGTAACAAAATTGGTCTTTCTTACTACAAATGGCCTTTTACTACCTGTATTTAATGTCTTTATACTTTCAAATTATTTAGCTTCACAAATGAGTTATTCTCCCCCCCTTTTTTTTGATTTTTTCGAGACAGGGTTTCTCTGTGGCTTTGTAGCCTGTCCTGGAACTAGCTCTGTAGACCAGGCTGGTCTCGAACTTACAGAGATCCACCTGCCTCTGCCTCCCAGTGCAGGGATTAAAGGCCTGCGCCACCATCGCCCGGCCAAATGAGTTATTCCTATCATTTTGCCATTTTGGAGTGTTTTTAGTGAGTTATTATGTGCATTCCATGTCAGTTATTACCCAATAACTTGAAACCCTAACTTCTCAGGATCTATAGGTTCAAAACCCCCAATTTTTTTTTTATTTTTTTATTTTTGAGACAGGGTTTCTCCGTAGCTTTTGGTTCCTGTCCTGGAACTAGCTCTTGTAGACCAGGCTGGCCTCAAACTCACAGAGATCCACCTGCCTCTGCCTCCCAAGTGCTGGGATTAAAGGCCTGCGCCACCACCGCCCAGCTTAAAACCCCCAATTTTGTTTTTATTTTTTAGAAGTACAGTACATAATATATAGTTCAGGTTGGGTATGAGCTCATAGTCCTTCTGCTGGATTACAGGTGTGAATAACCATGCCTGGCATCAATGAAAATACCTTTAAACTAATCACTGAATATAATGTGATTTGTCAAAAACATAATGTGATAACTCATTGTCATTATATAGACTACTAAAGAAGATACATTCTTACATGTGGCAAAATCACATCTAGGATGTACAGAAGGTGTGAGTGTATGTCTTGTCCATTTGTCTCTATGTGTACTCATGCATGTATACTTTTTGGAAGTTCTTTTTTATCTGAAGATGTTTGTGGGTAGTAACTACTTCTAATTAACTTTATTAGAATTATTAGAAGTCCAGCTGTTGAGCTGTATAATATAGTAAAAGGACACTAGTAACTTGCTAACTTTATGACACAGTAAATCACTAGTTTTCTAGAATTCCCTTTAGCGCCTATGAAATATGTACATTTAGTTAAATGAGTTCTAAAGTCTTTTCAATTTAAAAATACTGTGCAGAGCTCCCCCAAATTATATTAAATAAATTTTAATTTGATGAATGTTACTTTTCTATTGCCATGATAAGATACCATGACCAAGGCAGCTTATAGAAGGAAGAGTTTAGTGGGGGCTTACAGTTTCAGAGGATGAGTCTGTGACCCTCATGGCTGGGAGCATATCAGTAGGCAGGTGTGGCACTGGAGCAGTAGCTAAGAGCTTATGTAGTGATATTTTATTTGTATTTTAATAAATAGAGCTTGCCTGAGGATCAGATTGCAAAGCTAAGCCACTAGAGGCCAGGGAATGGTGGCAACACCTTTAATCGCAGGACTCAGGAGACAGAGACATATTGATCTCTGTGAGTTCAGGGCTACCCTGGGTTACACAGGATTGATCTAGAAACAGATCCAGAGGTGGTGGTTCACACCTTTAATCCCAGTGTTGGGGAGTCACACACCTCTAATCCCAGCACTAGGGAGGTGGAGACAGGAGCAATATGGCTGGGCGGAGAGAGGAATATAAAGGGGAAGAGACAGGAGCTCAGTGGATTGTGGAGTCTGAGGATTTGTGGAGATAGGATCTGAATATTTGGTAGAGGTAAAAGGTTGGCTGCTTTACTTTTCTGATCTTAAGCTGATCTTAAGCTTGAACCCCAATATTTGTCTCTGGGTTTTTATTATTCATACTATAAGCTTACATTCTGATCAATAAGTATGAGACAGAGAGGGAGAGAGAGAGAGAGAGAGAGAGAGAGAGAGAGAGAGAGAGAGAGAGGGGGGGGGGGGGAACTAAGTAAAGTTCCCCAAAGACCTGTAGCAACCTGACACTGAAAACTCCAGCCGGGAGAGTCGCCTGGTGCTGGGCTGGGCCAGGTGGCAGGTAGAAGGCACATGGGCAGACACATCATACAGAATAGAACTGGATATTTATTACGTAGAGG